TTTACATATATAGCCTTTGATGTTTTGTTAATGAATTTGCAAAATCTATCATTATGAATCTACAATCCTCAATACAATCAACTCACTTAATTACATAATCAAAATCTTTTGTTATAGAAAAATTAAGGGTTACACCAATATTATTCAGATAATAACAATGATTACAAGTATGAAATCAACCAAAAACCTATAAAAAGAAAATAACATTTTGATCTAGAATGTGTAAAATAAATAACTCATAAACTTCGAATGTAACAGAAGATATCAAACTAGCTTTTAAAACTCAATAATGAGGGAAGAACTCTTAGCAAGCTTACGATATGGTAGTTAATAATGGTTGAATCATAGAGGATTTCGAGATAAAGGAAATATATAGTCTAATACTAAAAGAAAAATTACTTAGAAAGAAAAGTGAATTAGAATACCTAGTCTAATATAAAAAATAATAAAGAAAAAAAATGCAATCAGAAGAGAAATATATAGTGACTGATGAAATTCCCAACAAGCTAAAAATAAAGCATTTTGTCTCCTATGTCTTCATCCAAAAAATTTGGTCCCAGATATGAAAACTAACACTCTATAGTCTGGGAGCGGTAAAGATAAATATTTCAGTACTAGAAAAATTAATGCTAAGATCAGTTGTAAGTTTAGTATTTATTATTATGAACATGGAAAAAGTTAATAAAAGGGATGGCTTAAGAGAATAAACCCCCATCATAAGGGAAAAAAATTGCGTGCGATAGACGTACGCAACGCTGCGTGCGATATTGGAGTATACCGAGGGTACAAGGGGGTTACATCCACGGTATAAGCCGTTGTAACCTCCGCGTAACATCCCTGTAACTTACATGTAACCTCTTAATATATGATAACAGAAGCGCGAAACTTATTTTAGAGTACAGATAGGTTACAGGAAGTTACAGGGAGGTTACAAGGGGTTATACCACGGATGTAACCTCCTTGTACCCTCGGTATAACCCCAATATCGCACGCAGCGCTGCCTACGTCTATCGCACGCAAATTTTTTTCCATCATAAGACTATCTGCAATCCAAATGTAAGGAATACTATATAAAGAGATTCTTCTGTCCATCTGAAAAGTTAACCACTATATTAAAGCAAGTTAAAAAGAAAGAGAAATAAAAAAAAAATGACTAGGTGACGATCGAGGCGGGGAGCTAATGAGATTCATTATAAATAACAAAAGCATCTAATAATAAAGATGCACATTACCATATAGTAATTCAGCAAAATCCCAAGAGAAAACTATAGTGACATATATAAAAGAGAGATTTGGGCTAGCAAATTAAAGTCGACCGATAATATCATCTCAAGTAATTTCGTCTTCATTTATCTTACTGTAAGCTCTCTATTCATTATTATTGGTAGTAGTTCTTTGACGAATCCTGTCTACTTTTTGTATATTTTAATGCTTATTTTTTCTATGTTTTCTATTGGGGTTCCTTTTTGTGCTTCACAATTGATCGGCACATGAAGAAATAAAAAAAGAAAAAAACTACACGACTTAATGGACACATTATCAAAATAACACCATCAAATACCCTAGCCCAATTTTTTGATCATATGCAACTTGTTTACATATCGATCTATCCCAGTGGGTTGCGAACTTTTTTCTGGCCTAATTATAGGCCCCCTATATAATGAGAAAATTTTGCATCATGACTCCAGATGTCCGGGCAACAGCCCAGAAGCAGCGAGGAGGGCATAGGTTTTATTCCTCCCATTTTCAGCTGCATCCGAGCCGTTGTCCGGACATCCGAAGTCCGGATGTAAAATTTTGTCCTATATAATACCAGCGTTCGTCTTAGTTTAATCTCGCCTGAAGCCTAGCAAAAGTTTAACTAGTACAATCCCATGCATCAACCTACATAACAAAGCCTTCTAAGATAAGATAACAACTTATAAACAACTTCCTTCGGAAATGATGCTGCCACGCTAGTGACTTGTACATACCACCGAATTCACATGAATTTACATATTAACACTTTATTTTTACCCCAACTCTTTCTTTTATCACATCGAAAATATCACTACTTTTATTTTTTAAAAATGAAATACACATTATTATGCATAAATAAAATGACCAATATATGATAAATGAAGCTTAGATATTAGATATGTACATGCAAGATCAACATTACGTCTGGAGTCCAGACGTAAAGCTGTGTCTGAACTTCAATTAAATCTTGCCACATGTATGTGACGGGCCCCATTGAATAAAAAATAAAAAGTTCTATATTTTAATGCATGACCCAACCAGGCTCGGCGTTATTTGAATGGTATTGCAGCTATTTAGATGTTATTGCAAGTTGAGCTGTGTTATTCATTAAAAAAAGAAAGGAAGATTTAGGCGCTGTTTGGTTTGGCTTCTGCTGCGCGGCGCGGCGTGCGACCGCGGCTTCGTCCCGCATTCCGGCGTTTGGTTCGGCGTTTCGCGGCAAATTCTTATTTCAAGTTTTAAAAATTAAAATGATGATATTTTTTATATGATATAAAATTTTTTGATGATATAAATGTAAGAAATTAAAGTATGGGGCTAGAAATGTAAATACAATAATTGGGTGGTATGTATGTAAACGCCCTAAATGAAAATATACATAACATAAATATCATAACATATGGTGTTATTATGGTATTATTGCGATATTATTGTGGTGTTATTGAGACGCTATTGCAGTATTATTATGGTTTTATTTGAGTGATATTATGGAAGTTGGGCTGCATTCGACTGTCATTTTATTAGTGTCATTATGATGTTATTGTTGTATTATTATGGTGTTAGTGAGGTGTTATGTAGGTATCATTATTGTATTTTCTGTTATAGAAAAAATGAAAGGGATATTTACATACATACCACTCAGTTCTTATGTATTTACATATCTAACACCTAAACGTCCATTGACCCTGTGGATGAAAATGTTTATTTCAATTTTTAGAAGTTAAAATGATGGCATTTCTTATGTGATAAAAACATTTTTGGTGATATAAATGCAAAAATTAAATTATAGGTGCTAGATATGTAAATAAAAGCATTGGGAGGTATGTATGTAAATGCCCAAAATGAAAATATACTACTTATTATGGTGTTATTGCGATATTATATTTGTCTTAATGAGGCATTATTGCGGTATTATTATGATTTTATTTGAGTGGTATTATGACAGCTGCGACAGTATTCGAGTGTTGTTTAATTAGTGTCATTATGGTGTTATTGTTGTATTATTGTTGTGCTAGTGAGGTAATATGTAGATATTATTATTGTGTTATTTGAGTGGTATTGCAGCGGTTGTAGTGGTATTCGACTGTTATAAAAAAATGAAAGGAATATTTACATACATATCACTCAATTATTATGTATTTATATACCTAACACCTAAACATTAAATTTTTCATACACGCCATCGACACTTAGATGAAAAGGTTTATTTAAATTTTTAAGAATTAAAATGATGGTATTTTTTATGTGATATAAAAATTTTTGGTGATATAAATGTAAAAATTAATGTATAGGTGCTAGATATGTAAATACAAGAATTGAGTGGTATGCATATAAATGCCCAAAATGAAAATATTCAGAACATAAATATCACATAATTCTTACATATCTTGCTATGGAGTATCTGTATCTTTATATTTACTTATATAACACCAAAATCTCTAATAAAATAAAAAAAAATCTAATAATATTAACTAATGAAAGCAGATATTCAAATGTTTATTACGGTGTTATTTGAGTGATATGTGATGATATTTGACTGGTATTATTTTAGTATTATTATGTTATTATTGCAATGTTATTGTGGTGTTTTGAGGTGTTATTATGATGGTATTTGGTTTATATTATGACCGCTCTGTGGTTGTATTTGACTGATGTTATTTTAGTGTTATTGTGACATTATTGAGGATTTTCACGTTTTATTGTGGCGCTATTGAAGAGTTATTGTGATGTTATTAAGGTGTTATTGCAATGTTATTGCGACGTTATGGAGGTGTTATTGTCATATTTTTGTAGGTTTATTGAGGTGTTATTTTAGTAGTATTATTGTGATTTAGGTGTTATTGCAAATTCTTATATTTTAATTTTATAGATGGTATTTTGTTATCCAAAAATGAAAGAAAGATTTACATACATACCACTCAATTCTTATGTATTTACACATCGAGCAACATAACATTGATTTTTTCATACACCATCGATCCTATGGAAGAAAATGTTTATTTCAATTTTAAAAAATTAAAAAGATGGTATTTTTATGTGAAAAAAAAATTTTGGTGATACAAATGTAAAAATTATAGGTGCTAGATATTTAAATACAAAAATTTGGTGGTATGCAGGTAAATGCCCAAAATGAAAATATACAAAACATAAACATCAGAACATATGATGTTATTAGGATGGAATTGGGTATTATTATTGTGTTATTAAGATATTATTGAAGTATTACTGTTATATTATTTGAGTGATATTGCCATGACTGTACAAATGTAAAAATTTTTACCGTATAAATGTGAAAATTAAAATATAGGTGATAGATATGTAAATACAATAAATGGGTGGTATGTTTGTAAATGCCCAAAATGAGAACATACAGAACATAAATACTACATAATTTTTATATAACACCTCAATAACACAACCCAACTTGCAATAACACCTAAACTGCCACAATACCACTCAAATAACGTTGGGTCGAGTCAGGTCATGCAATAAAATATAGAGCTTTTTATTTTTAATTCAATGGGGCCGCCACATATTGCTGACAAAATTTAATTGGAATCTAAATGCAGTTCCGTGTCGGGACTCCGAACACGATTTTTTCCAATATGAATTCTGCCGCATGCAAGTAATTATTCCCTATTTATTAAGTTGGAAGAACTAATCACTTAAATGTCTCAAAATCAAGAAGTCGAGAAAATATCTGAGTCACGCTGATTTCCTACAAAAAAAATTTTCAAATCAAAATTGTGAAAGGAGTGGCTTTAGAGGAAGAAGCAAATAAAATCCCAGATCATCGGCACTTCCGTGCATTGATTTAAAATAGGGAAGAATACATTGAAAATCAGAAGAGGCTCAAAATTCAAGGGCGACCTGAGCCATAATTTGATTTACAAAAGGCACAATAAGCTGCCATTGAACAAGTTCCCGCCACTGATGGGACTGATGGATACAAAAGCACCAACTTAGCATCTCACCCTTCATCTTGGCCACAGCCAAATGCATGGAAGGGGTTGTCGACAAAGAATGGGATTAATGAAATCTCAACCAACCTCACAAAATCCATGTCTAGACTCGGTCCTATGCTATCATCTCAAAGTGAAAAGGGCAAATATCTGGAAAACAGGACTGTTATTTGCACATGCTATAAAAATCTATGATCAGTTTGGTTGGTCTGAAGTTGAGGTTGAAGTTGAAGTTGTTGTTGCAGGCATTTGATTGGGTTTTGGTAGTTGAGGAATCAGGTTCGAGCCATCACTGGGGCTGCTTGAATCCTGCTTTTCTTTTCCGGACTGCGTCTGCATCTTATGTAGATGAGAATGGAACTCCGCATCTGTTTCCGACTTCCTCTTTACCCTTTTCTTCACATCTACAACTGCTTTGCTTCCACAATCTGAAACTATGCCAGAGCTGATCCTACTGGCTTTTTCGTGATGCTTAGATGTGTATCCATTATTTTGTGCAGTATCACATAGATATGCAGTTGGATCGCTCACTCTGCCTTGAAACAGGGGGCTTAGGCTTGAGATTTGCTTGTCGTGGGGAGCGGGAACCTGAACAGGATGATCTGTACGGAGTCTCCCTTGAACAGCTTCTGGTTGCGACCTCGGACTAGTTTCCTCCGACTTCACTGTCTTCTTCTCAATCCTCACTTCATGACGAGCCTGAAACTAATTTAAATGGAAGATAGTCAAGGATGTTACATAAATAATTTAACTTATGAGAAGAGTAAAAAATGGAAGCTCAGGGAAAAGTAGGAAAAATAACATTGGTCCTCAAAAGAAAAGATCGATGCATACAGCCATCACCAAATTTGAAAACTTAAGGGGGTTTGTTCCTCAAAAGCAAGCACCTAAAATACTCGAGGTGGAAAAATGACATGGCTTAATTAACAAAATGATATGGGTGACATGAACGGATTAAATTAATATTAATGAGGACTTGCACTACCAACTTTTCAACCATTCATGTGCACAAACAAACTTTGGGCATCAAAATCCGTTTATATCCTTCGTTCTGATTAATTATAAACATGAAATAAATTGTTCCACCATTTTTCACAGATTAGGTGAGAACAAAAAATGGTGCAATTTAAAAACAACAGACATGGCTGACATGAATATAAGAACTGACATTTCCAAATGAAGAGGCATTAGGGCGTACAGGTGTTTTAAATTAGCATGTAGATATATGGAATATTGATAAATCTAGAAATAGCAACATAGCAACACCTTATGCCGTCTGCGTTTCTTAGCATTGCATATTGCAATCTTGATCCGATAAGTATCCATGTAACCAGCCGGCCATAGTTCTTGAAGCTGCAACAACGAAATAAAATAGTTTTCTAAGCTTTAAGTGGAGAAAATGAGACATGAAAATACACAACGGAAGATTAGACTTAGAAGCCACTCATCCATGCAATCAAGAAAATGCAAATATATGGTTAGAAAAGATGCAAACATTTCATAGATGGGAAACAAAAAAACAAACTTACTGAATCATCAATCACTAAACCAAAAAAGAGCAGGGTAATAAATTACGTTCCTGGGAATCTACAAGTGTTCAAAAATCAAGCACAAAAAATTCCACCACCCAAAACAAAAAGTAGATCAATTCTCCAAACTTAATTCTTGAACTTAGCAAAAAAAACAAAAAAATAAAAAACACTTCATCACAAGAAAAGCCAAATTTGTGGCAGTACAACAAAATATACATCATATTCAAAAGAAATAAATTACCTCCACATACAGTTTTCGGCTCTGAGGACCCTTGTCTTCATCCATTCCCTAAAGTGAAAAAAGTGAATATAGGCTGATGATAAATAATTGCAGCAATCAATTTAAATTGAATGAGCGGAGGAAAGATAACAAAAAAGAAAAATTATTTGAAGATAGCAGCATGTTAGATTTCAAAACTATTAATAAGAGTATATTAATGTCAATATAGAAGTTAAAAGGGAAGTCTGATTTTAAAAAGAAAAAAAGAATAACCAGAAGATCATTCAAAAAATTTCAACTGTTTTCTTCTTAAATTTTATTGTACCTCAACATGCAAATCATAGAGGTCACAAATTTTGTCTTCCAAGGCTACATCCATAAAATATTTTCCTTTTAAAGCTCTCCTTTCATCAACACTAGCCGTGCCATGAAAATCATCTGTTAAACCATCTTGATAGTCAGGCACCTATTAAATCAAGGAAAAGGTTGCCCATAGGCAAAAAGTGTTAGGCACAATAAAAGACATACACAGTCCTTCATTCACCGGGTTACACTTAATATTCTACGAACTGCTAAAGTGGAATACATTCCATTTTTTTGCTCTTTGCACGCCTTCAAAACAAAATCAAGGACAAAATATCTCACCTTGGAAACCAGATGAGAGACACGTGCATTTATCATTTCAAGGACCTCCTTCTTAATTTGCAAGAACTTATCAACCGTCTGCTGTTTTACAGATAGACCTAATTCAACCATCTTTTGCATGTTTCTCTGCAGATAAATAATCAGTTGTTTCATTAATTTAAAAATGTTGGAAGTATTAAGCAAGACAAAAAAATATTTTTCGCAATAACCAAAGATAGTCATTTAATTATGAAAAAATAGAATAAAAATTGTGTTTGACTGATTAAATCTGATTAAATTGAAGAACCTTAATCAGAAAACCACGGTGTTCAGTTTAGAGTATGATCCAAGAAGTATCAAAGTCTAAGAACATTACTTCAATTTCAATGTGAAATGATGAATGAAGCAAACATAACTAAACCGTTAAAGTATTGTGCCATTCTGACTTAATGTAGAACAAACAGATGGAAAACTTGTTAAGAAACACTTGTTGCTAATAAAAATAAGCCAGGTCAAAACACTGATCCATGTTGAGAAAAAAACAAAAATCAAGTTCGCATGAAATAGGTGAACTATTCAACAAGAAAAATCTACTAGACATGAGACCAAAATATAATAGATAACATTTGGGAGCATTGGATCACTATTATTCACGGGCAAATCACTCAGGTCAAAACACTCAAGAAGAAAGAGAGAGAGAGAGAGAGGACATAGCTTTAGAAAAAGAGAACCCAGGACTTATGAGACCTGTAAAAGGATCCTTTCAACCTTTTCTTCCATTATTTATATATCACAGGGTGTCGTTGACTTTGGTACAAAATTTAACAAGAAATATAATGAAAATACACATTAGTATATAATTATACAAAGCAGCATGCCGGGCCTTGTAACTCTGCCATACGTTCTAAATAGCTTGTACTGAATGTTGGGCCCAAGGAGAATCGCGAATATGAAGGCAGTCAACTTCATAGCATGTCATGCCCAAGTTAGTTATAGGGTAGACTCCTAAGCCTTTCTGGATCAAGCGGTGAATTAATAATATTCAGGATGAGCTAGGCAACCTCACTGGGATGCTTGTTCGGATAATCCAACATGGAATCATCCGTGAGTCTTGATAGTGGGTTATGATTTCATGCTTGTATTGTGGGTTATTTGGATGTATATGTTTAGTTGATTGATTATCTAATCTCTTTGTATGTATATAAAAAAAGTTTTAATTCACTACATAATCAAATAATTTAGGTTTTATACCAAATTATTGATGTGACGCCCTCCCAAAATCGTTGCACCACTTTATAAATATGAGTCTGATGGCAATAGGTGAAATTTGTGCTTCATCTTTTCATTGAGCCTCACTTTATAAATAGCTCAATTAATGTGAAAAGGAGATCCCATATGATAAGATCGATACGACCGCTTCCTGAGCATCAAACTATATGACAAGATAGAGGAAAAAGCTTCTTTGAGAAGAAAAGAAACAAGAAGAAGAATGTACGAAAAAGGAACGAGACAAATTAGCCTCATTCAACTCCGAAGCCTGCCTTGAACAGGTTCAAGGGCTTGAGTGGCATTTCCCTTCATGGAAATACTATGTTGAGGGTCAGTGAACATATCATATTTTTTTATATGATCAATTTTGTTGCAAAAAAATAATTTTACGAAAAATATTTCATAGATTTGCCAGCAATGAGCGAGATTTTTTGTAATGAACCTCAAGGTGATCAAACCTCTTATCCAAATATCGCTGTGGAGAGACTTAAAGTTGGTGAGTCCCAAATACCAATCCCCCTTATGGTAGAGCCTCTTCCCGTAGTTGAGAACCCTGAGAAGGAAACACCCCCTTCTGTCGAGCTAGTAGAAATAAACTTTAAAAAACTTGGGATAATATCAAACCACTTACCTAGATCCTTATGAAGATGAAGGTGAGCATTCCATCGAGTTTCCCGACGGCAAGAGCTATGGTGCCACCCCAATCTTGATGAAGCAGCCTCAAAAGACATTATGATAATATAATATCCTCCAATTCTAGCAAAGGATATGACGTAACAAAAGATAAACATATCCTCTAAGGTCAACACATTGAAGTTAGTGTTTAAGGCGAACAAAGGCAAGTCCTTCAAATAGCAAACTTACTTGAAGGAGTCTATGGCGAGAAGACTTAAACAACCATTAGGAGTGAAGTCACACTACTATTGGCTAATGAGGTGGTCTACAAGAAGTTTATGGAATTAACTCAATCAGACTAACTCATTGTGGATCGTGAATTTGTTTTGAAAAGCCTAGCTAACAATGGCAAGACTTCCAACAACGTCACTACTAACCTTAAATTCCAATTCCTTGCAAAAAAAAAAAAAAATTCTTCCTAGAGAGGGGTGTTTTCAAGCCACCTAGTGTAATATTGTAGTTTTAATAAAAAAATTGCTTCTTGACACCATTGTGGGATTTTGAATATCACCCATCAAACGATCATGACACTTAATTTTCATAATGACATGATAAATGTACTATTGGATGCGAATGAAATATGAAAGTAATGATGAGAGAACTTTTTAATTAAAACTTTAGGTACTTTTTAAATTCAAAATTCAAAAATCTAAATAATTTTGAATTTTAAAAAGACTTGCCATTAAGGAAACATGGGATGTTTTAGCTTGCCTGGACTCCTATGTCCTTCGTTATTCATATAAATAGATCAGTTAGAGGTGTAAGTGAACTTTCCGTGCGACCTCTTCAGTTTTCAAGGCTCTTTCTAATTTCCTTGCTTTTATACTTAGAGTTCTCCAACATTCTTATTCCAACATGAACTCTCCTTCCAAGATGTAGTGTGTTTTTTATTCCGATGAAGGGCATCTTCAACGAGTAATATTTGTTATAAGCTGGTGAGAAAGACCAGCTCTTGAATACAATCATTAGAGATGTGTTGTTCTGCTTTCTAGATCAGTTCTGCTTAATGTTGCATTTCCCTCTCTACCAAGAGCATTTGAAATCAACAACTACTATGACCTTGGTCCCGCTCAGGTGATGTATAATTTGTTTGCAAGTATCATCGCTAAGAGGAAGAAGATATTGTGGTCGTTTAACTTCATAATGTAACACCAGATGCTAACTTTCTGAGCAAAGGAAACTACAAATTCGCAGGTGGAGTAAGTTCTGCCTATATACTTTAGTGAAGTGCAAGGTCCTACCTATTGAATACACAGAGACGACCCACTGCCAACCAGGTCCCCTCTCAATGACGACTTATCCAATGAACAGGTAATGTAAGTGAAACCGTCCAGTGCTAAGTTCAAAGTCCTCACTCATGAATCATGCTTGGGTAAGAAGGAAGGTGGTGGAGATGAACATGCCTAACAAATGAAAAATTGAAGCATTTTTAGATTTTACTTCTTATATTGTACACATTCATTCTATACTATCAAAATTTCTATAAAAAAATAACAATTTTTGTCACATCGGATCAAGCAATGTTGAGACATGCCTAACAAATGAAAAATTGAAGCATTTTTAGATTTTACTTCTTATATTGTACACATTCATTCTATACTATCAAAATTTCTATAAAAAAATGAAGTAGACAAATGTTTTACATGTGTTATGTGACTAGCTGTTTGTGTAATCAGCAACCAAATAGATATATAACTATATGATTCAATCTTCAATATGAGTGTCAATATTTCGAGCCGATGAGCATTTTGAACTAGCTAGTAGCGAATTGGGAGCCATATTGTGGGTGAGTTTTCAAAGATTGAAAACTTTTTTGTATGGCATTCTTCCACCATCTCTCTCTCTGCCACACCCCTCCCGCCCTCCCTCCCAACCGAGCTGATGAGCATTTTGAACTAGCTAGTAGCAAATTGGGAGGTATATTATGGGCGGGTCTTCAAAGATTGAAAACATTTTTGTATGGCATTCTTCAAAGCTCTTCCTGTATGAAGTCGTAACCTTTATGGAGGTAGACAATTATACTTTTCATGTAGAATTGACTCTCCCAACAAATGACTTCATATTCAAAGGGAATTTCCATTCATTTCAATATTTAGCAATGATAATTACAAATAAAAAATAAAAAATAACATCCTACTTAAAACAAGCGTAATCTTGCTTGAAAAATAATAAAAAATGCAATGACTCTCAGATCAAAGTTGCATTTATGAAATCTAGAATCAATAAGAACCTATATTCTTACTGGATTATACAATATGATATACTCAAACATAATTAAATTTAGATCCAAATGTATTTTACATCTCAAGACCATGTCCGATGTACATACCCTTGCATTGCATAAAATGCACCTTACAACCATATAAACAAAACTAACACTACTTTCTATTGAATCTTGGGGTCAATGCCTTCCATAAGATACATGAACCGTACCAGATGATCCAAAAGATAAAATAGCATGATCATCTCATCAAAGTTGAACATTCAATTCTTAAACAAAATTTTTAAAAACAATTAAAAAGTTTAAGCATAAGCTAACCCAAACATAAGTAATCACTAGAAACTAAACCATTTAAAATATTGGAGCTTATTAAACCAATGTCTAAAAGTTCAAAATTTAAAAAAAAAAATGGTATTAGTCCAAGTTTAATGTGCTGAATTTTATTTTATTTTATGAATATAATGTCAAATAGATGAATAATTCTCTATTTAGCTCATCATGAATATGCATCCAATCCGTTATCCATTAATTCTATACACAGTCTAGTTGAAGTTCTTCTGAAAGATGAGATTGTCGAATGTTGATGGATAATTCCATTGATCATTGTGATATAAAGGTGTTTTCGATAGCTTATGATTTATTTTAAGGGAATTTGTTTGCTAAGTAAAAAAGGAATGCAGTTGAATTGAAATATTGTGTATTTAAAAATTATTCAAGTTATTTCATTTGGGGTAAAATAAAGGCAGTAGTTTAAATTTTTATGTTTGGTTCCAAGAAAAATAAATTCAATAAAAAGCACATGTGATGGATGGGGGCAAGAGATGGGATGCAGTGGACAATAGGAGGTCAATCATTGGATATATTTTATTTATTTATTCAAATTTAAATATGGGTATTAGCTCTAGCCAACTAAGCTGATTTAAGCTAATCATATTTACTAATCTAGTAATGGTTTTATAATAGAAGCTGAGATGTAATTAAA